TGTGCTTAAAGCTATTTTTACTGCAACATACCCTAGGTATGTACATTTGATGTGTGAAGGAGTGCATACTAAAAGTATGTTGCAGTAAAAATATCTTAAAGCACACTGTTTCTCAAGGTGGCGATATTATGGACCCTGGTGATATTATGGACACAGATGTTATATGTAGATTGCCTTTTAATCATAAAGTTTTTTGACAAAATTTATTTTGATGCCAACATGTAATAATTATAAGTTCACAAATGTTTAATTTCTCCTGAATGAAAGGTAATTAACTTATTAAAGTGTATAGTAAATAACTGTTGTAACAGTAAATAACTGTAACAGTTGTAACAGTTGTACATTGTGATCTCCATCATCCATGCACAAATGCTAAATTTATACACCCCCCTCCCCAGAGAATTAAGTTCATGCACACCCCTCACCAGTTCCTGTTACTGAGCAGCCCCCCTGCTAAAGAACAGGCCTTCCGAGAAGCCAAGAGACAACACGGCAGTCTGTTCGCATTCCAGTGAGTATTTCTTTGTTCCACGCTCACAAACTTTTGTTTTACCTGCAGATATTAACCCTTGTCCTACTGGACTTTTTTACACAATATTTTCCAGTTATTTGAAGTCGTAATCAGTTCAGACCTCTGACTTTTTTTGCCCTGCGGTGGCATAGTTACAAATGTACTTCCGCATTTGCATTTCGCTGCGGTGTGATGCATTGCACAAAAAACACCCCCAAATCGTACAAACACAGGGCACTATATACATGTAGAAGGTACATGTACTGTACATGTACATGTATGTGCAACCCATATATATATGGGTCCCACAGGACTTAACATGTTATAACATGTTTCGTATTTAAGTTTCTTCACGCATTTTTGTAAAGGTGCCCCTGGAAGAGTATATTCAGCAAAATTTTGTAATTTTTTCAAAAAGATTTGATTGCAAATTGTGCAAGTAAATCCGAAAATATAAGTATTTGTAATATACTGTAAATCAATATTTGTGGTAGCAAAATTTCGCAGTCTGTGAAAAATGGACATGTTTGCAGAACTATATGTTTTCAGCGGTGTCGGGTGCAGAAAAAAGAAATGTAACAAATTATTTGTTCGCGGATAAATTTGCAATAAAAGTGACCACAAAAAACGGGAATTTAAAAGTGCCACGAATAGAAGGTGATTTATAGTACATGTACGTGTATGTCTGTGATGTTTTTCTCAACACACACACAACGTTTAATAAGTTTTTGCTGTGATGTTGCAGTGGTTCCCATATAGAAAACTGGCATTCCATCCTGAGACATGGCCTCATCAACGCTTCAGGTACCAAGCACCAGGTGAGGATGTGACTAAGTTTATGATATCATACTTCGCCTGATTTTTTAATATTTTGATGAATGAAATTGGTTGCAATAGAGAGCAGAGTATTTAGCAGTCTTTTGAGGCAATTTTAGCATGTATTAAAATGTTTATTTACATGTAGTACCAGGGCTCGAAACCACTAAAATTTAGGCTGGGACAACTTAAAAGACACTTGGGACATTTTTGGGACGGTAGAAAAATAATTTACATCAGAATGTCAGTTCTTTATTTGTTTATTAGGCATGGGTCGATCCCAGCTTTTGGATCCGGAAAAGTCCCCCCGAATTTCCTGCCTACTCTGCAATTATAGTGCAATTGGGAGTGAACATGAGCAAAATAAAATCGACCTCAACTGTTCAAGTTGAAGTCATACAACACTTCCCCCCAAAAAAATTATTGGGACATTATTTTAATCCTCTGCTTCGGGACAATTGAAATCTATTTTTGGGACAGTGCTGGGACAATGGGAAGAAAAATTAATTTCGAGGCCTGTCAATGTTACCTGCATCAGTGCAGGAATACAGAAAAAAGATTACAAACCAGTCCTCTCATTACCTCCGGGGGAGGAGACATCCTTCCGCGGAAGGGTTTTGTGAGAGATTTCGATTTTCATGTTCGCAGCTGTTTCTCACGTTTGGGTGGACGGAAAGTTTGTATATCTTTTGTATATGTTTTGCTATTGGGCTGCAGATGATGCACGTTCTTTTGTTTTTATTGTATATGTGTTTTCGGGCGTGAAAATGGTGCCTTTTGGTGGCCCCAAAACACCCCTTTGAGCATGAAAGTGGTCGCGACCATTGACCTTTGACGTGTTTAAGCTATTCTCGGTCTGGTCCACGTATATGACCCCCCACACAGAGGGGTGTCCGGTCTCGATAAATTCTTTGTTTAAAACCCTATATAAAAAATAATATTTTTTAAAAAGCCAAGAGGTATAAAATCTCAGATTTTACTTATCTCTATGATGTTTGTTGTGCTTCTACTCTAGCTCCATGGTGCTGCATACGGCAGTGGGATCTATCTCAGTCCCAACTCCAGTGTGTCCTTCGGTTACTCCTGCATGGGCCACGGGAGTCACAAGGCTGCCAGGAACAAGGCTCTGCTGGTGGTGAGTTATCTCTGAGTTATCTCTAAATTATCTCTGAGTTGTCTCTGAGTTACTGTATCTCTGACAAGGCATAGTTAACTCGAGAAAGCAAACTTTTTATGATCCATGAGGCCATGCCAATTCAATTTGTTGTAAAACGTTGAACTTTATTCCAACACGCAATTTACAGAGAGATCAAATTTTCAGCGACCACTGTCGCCTTCATCAGGATAATTAATGACCAATCACTTCCCAACGTGATCTCGCGAGAGTTACGGTTTGTTGTTAATTTGATTTGTTGGTTCACAGATTTTCCCGCATCATTTTAGCTTCTGAATTAACTCCAAAAATGCTCAAATTTTGGCCCCCAACAGTTGAAGGAAGTCCCTTCTCTTCAGAGTTGTTACCGTTTTTCCATGAATGCAATTGTTTGATAAAATTTAAAGTTCAAAATTCCAAACCAGACTGGTACAAATATTGATGTCAGGGCTCCTATCATAGCATTTAGGGCTATCATAGGATGCCTAGGTCTGTTTTTATTTTTTTTTATTTTTTGCCCTGGCCTGTCGCTTCATCTCTGAAAAAAGTCAGAGAACCAACAAATCAATTTGGTGTGTTCTAAGTCATGGTATTCAGGAAGCAACTATCATAATGGAACTGTCTTGAAAGTTCATCAGATTCTGTAGTACTGTCAGTGGTAGAAGCAAGTTTGAATTTCCAGCACACGAAATTGTACTTGTTTCATAATCCTAACTATGGAATTACTTGAAATATATTTAATTTATTAACAATTTACTGGGTATTCATTAGGTCAAAACAGGTTGTCAATATCATTCTCATAATATATGTATGATGATGGAATTTCATAAGACTAACAAGTTGACATGAGTCACCAATTTTATTAAAATTACAGACGGTCTATCTAATGCTACAAAATGTAGGTCATTGTTTAATAATTATTGTCATTTGCATCAAGAGGTTTGGAATCACTGGTAAACAGGTCCTTTGGATTGCTGTTTTTCCCCCATATGACAAGACTGTGCATTATCCACTTCTACATGACAGCAGTGGTCGAAATACTTTTTTTCAGCGCTGAGTGCAATATTGCAGAAGAGTCAAAATTTTGTTCTGCAATTTGGAAATGCTTTCTGCAAATACACAAGCCTCCATACTACAAATGTACAATCTTGCAGGTTTGTAAGCATGAACTATTGATTAATATGCAAATTAGTGAAGACAATTTTTTGGAAGTTCAAAAAGAAACAAAAGATAGACAAAAGATAGACAAGTCAAGACAAGGTTGATGCAAATTAGTGAAGAAGCTCCTGTTGTTTCAGAACAGGAGCTTAAGTGTTGTCTGTCCTTGGGGCCAAGAGCGCCAAATCCCAAGTGCCAATTTTTCCTGCTGCAAAATTGCAGATTGTATACATTTTTCTTCTGCAATTTTGAAAATCTATCTGCAGATTGCAGACTGCAGACAGGTATTTCGAACACTGATGACAGTATGTACATTATACAGGACCTGGTATTCAAACTGAAATGTGGCTTGTTGTGCTGATAAAAATGAATATTTTATGATCAAAAAAGACTTTTTTCAGGTCAATATCCAGATATCAGGAACTTCCCCCTCTTACCCCCTTAATTTGTCTTTGTTGGACCAAAAGTCGGGAGTGTTTCATTTTGTGTCCTGATGTGTTACACAAAGTCAGCCTCATTCCTTTTCCTTGCAATTTTGCAAAACTTCATAAACTGAGAAGTTGCTTTCTTGCTTGTTGTCCCTAGTCATACTATGTGTTATGTTAACCTTCGCAGAAGGAAAATATTCAATTGTTTTTGACACAGTATCTTCCTCTTCTGACTTCTTCTCCAAACAAATAATGCCAATGACCTGGACCAGACGTCTGTCACCATGGTAACTGGTGCTGTAGCAGACACCCTGTGGTGTTGGGTTACATTATGTACATCATGTAGCAGGACCAATTTGGAAGGTCTGGTCACCATATACATGTAGTATATGAATGTGTTTGAGTGAGAATATAACTGTTACAGAACAGTTACATGTAGTAGTTTGTCAGGCAAGACCACGAGAAGGTAAACATTATGCATTTGCTTTGCAAATGTTGCCTTTGTACAAAATGTGTTGTAACACTGCTATACCCAGTTCTCAGGAAATTCTGTCAGTTACGCTGCAGCAGATTACTACATTTCTGTGTGTAAAAGGTGCTGCACACTACTGCTTCAAGTGTTGTGAGTAAACTGCCTTGTTGATGATTGGCCATTATTTCAGACCCCCCATCGGAAAGGGTTCCTGCAAGGCTGCAAGGCCCTCGGGTGTACAAATCAGACTACTGCAGCATCAGTAAGTCCCTCTCATCTTGTGCTGTGACTCGTGTGTTCACCACCATCCATACCTGTCCTCGATAAAGCTTGACGTACATCTTTAGCTAGAAAGTTTAAGCCTTTGTTCCAACACGAAAAGAGAGACTCACCACGAATTTTCTTTCAAACACGTTTAACCTTCGTCAGATGTGTGATCCACTCACTAACTCGGGAAGTCAGAAACGTGATGACGTCAGGAGTGAATCAAGAGTGAGCTTTCATATTCAAAAATTTTTGCACATCTCTTTCTTTAGTTACTTAATATCAGGATTTACCACATTTGTGGAAGGAATTGACCTACATGTAAATGCTTCAAGATGTCAACCCGGAGACCAGACTGTAAGGTTTGAACCACTCACATCGGGAAGGACCCCTGCTCTTTTCAAAACAACATCACTTCAACACAGACAGTCCCTCTATGCTTTGTTGTGTCTGGATTGTTTCTTGGAAGTTCTTGAAAATGGTTGACTGGTATATAGTACACTAATACAGGCCATGCAACTGACATCCATGCACATGGATACGTGTACATGCATTTAGAAGTATCCAGCTTAAACACACGTATCTTGTGTTTAACCTTCATTGGTTTAACCATTGCTCACTAATGCTGCGATTGGCTTTAGTGGACCTTGCCCTAATACTAGTGATGCATACCGGTTCACTGGACTTGGATCCGGACTTGTAAGAATGTTTAGATTCAAGTCCAAAAAAAACTAAAAGACAAGAACCGAGTCCGGACTTATTACCATAAAAGACCATTTCACATACCCCTTTTCTTTTTAAACCACCTAAAACCTTTGAATTCGTAGATTCCAAAATCTTTGCTGCAAAAAGAAGAAAACATTGCCATCGAGCATCGTCAAGTACTGGCCTTCATGTTATGTGGCCAAAGTTTCACCCATACAACATTGCAAGGTTGCCAACATGCAATTTTGTATATGCCATGGAACCTAAACCTCTGGACTTGAATCCGGACCTGAACCTAAAATTGGGTTTAGGTACTACATGTGTATGCATCACTACCTAATGCTCCAGCTTACAATTATACACAGTTATATAATGAAGAAGAGTTAAATATCAGGGTTGGTCTAGCATGAAGATTTTTCTTAACATTTCTTTTGTTTGCCTGAGGCCAATTCCTTATTAATTACAGTACATATGGCACTACATAATAATTATGATAATAACAAAATTGACTTTGTGGTGTTGCTTTAAGTTACATGTAATTATGTGTGTTTATTGACTTTGGTTTACCTGTTAATATTGTCTTTTTGTAACTCTTTGATTTTTTTTTGTCTAACTCCTTTCACAACTGCCTTCATTGCTGAAACATGGGCATTGATTGAATGTACATATTGTAACTCTCTGTAGTTTTAGGTAAGGCCACACCAAGTAAATTTTATGGATGACGTCCGCGCGCGCATTGATTTTGGCCTGTTCCTAAAAAAACCCCAAGAAATTCCGCTTTCTGTAACTATGACCAAAGAGTCACGACAGTGCCACCAATCGTTAGATTGACGTGAAACCCGTAACGCCCAAACAGGACAGGACGACAACTGCTGTTCCACCTGATTTATTGCTGTTTTGATGATGAATAAAAGACTTCTTGCTTGTTACACTGTGTCACCTCATTCAATTTGTGTCCTAACATTTGGCGGCTCTTAGTATATTTCTAATCTAGGCATCTTGTTTTTTAGTGCCCTTCTTGTTTTTTTTTTCGCCCTCTCGCATTAGATTTAGGGTCTCCAAAGGACGTCATCCATAAAATTTACTTGGTGTGGCCTAACAAGATAGAGATCCAACCCCTAAAAGTGCTAGGGCTTCAGGTGTCATTTCTTTTCAATGCTCATTTCTTCTAGGACATAATACTTAGCCTGGGTACCATCCGGATTTTCGCTACGCAATGTTGCATAGCGAAAATCCGGATGAAAATCCGGATGGTACCCATGCTATTTTTCGAGCGTTGCGTAGCGAAAATCCGGATGGTACACAGGCTACATAATACTGTACACAGTACAAAATGACTCAGCGTTGTTGCATGTATATTTACATTGTAATAAATAAACAAACACCAATTTATGCTTGCATGGCAGTGCACTGCATGGCAGTATGGTATTTGTTGGTAAATACAAACAAAATTGTTCTGCATCCCATCAATTATACTTTTATTTGAACCATTATGATTGAATTATTCTCATGCATATTTGCAACTCAGATGTGTTACATAATGATTATCAAAATTTACTTAAGTTAGTACAATGAAGTCTTGTACATACAATTAGTTCATGGTACATGTAGGTATGAGCCACAGGCTAAAACAATAATTGAATTTGTGAGAAAGCTACACCTGGTAATAGCATTGTGTCATTTGCACGTCAATGATATTAATAAGGAGACAGTACACCATTTCAAAAGACATTGTGAAAGTTATGATTCATAACTACATTATGATAGTAAGCATAGTCTGGTGCAGATTATTGCATTTTGGGTCATTTTTTAAGGAAAAAATTTTTTGTCTATGCATATACAATGTATGTGTACAGTGGGCTCTTTCAAGTCTTTGCATTTATTAGACTGTGTGTGTCATGTGCATTTGTGATGCATACCTTAACATGACTTGTACATTGTACATGTACAATGTATTATAATTGCATCTTTTAAGATACCCAAATTACAACTTAGATATTAATGTAATCTGTTTCTTTTTAGGTGGGGGAATAATTTTTTTTTTTTAATTTCACCTGTTTTCATTCTGTTTATTTCAGGAGAAGACTGGCAAGAAAGAAAATACTAAACGTTTCTTAGAAAGTGACAACTTGACATGCATAGCACTCTGTGAAGGTGAGGTTAAGAACTTGGAACTTATCAGTGTTCAATGTCTATACGTGTATATAATGCTTTGTCTTTGTTGTCTAACTATACAATGTCATGTACACAAGGATTTTTAGTGGTTCAAATTTGCTGATACATAATGTACATCAGGCCACAGCAAGTAATTTTTATGGATGACATCAGCGCGCGCATTAATTTTCGCCTGATTTTGGAAAAAACAAGAAATTTTATTGCCTGGCTTCTGACAGTGGCCACCATGCTGAAAATGGGCAAAGATGCCGAAAGGTGGATGGCAGATAACTATGAAGAGAGGAGACTAGAAAAGGCTCTGATTTCTGATGTTTCGTTTCTTAGTTTGATGCAGTGATGTGTGATACTGGCTGTGTATATGTGATGTTCCCTGAATCAAAACCATTTGAATGTACAATGATTGAGTCAAAATTTTTAAATGTTTTTTTTGTTTGCCCGCTCGCATTAGTTTTGGAGTCTGCGGAGGATGTCATCCATAAAATTTACTTGCTGTGGCCTAACTTTTACTCTAAATATAACTTGACTTGTTGCTATTTAATTTGTTATCCACACTTCTTAATTTTAATTTTCAAAATCTTGATCAAGCTAGTAGTTTGCATGTACACAATGCTTCTTCCATGAGTTAAAGCCTGCATTTTGTAATTCTTCTTTTATAAATTTCTACAGTGATCCATTCCAAGGAGCTCAGAAAACACAACAACATCTGGGTGGTGCCTAACCCTGACCACGTGTGCACAAGGTTCTTCTTTGTGTAAGTCTTTCAAATCTACAATTTTGCAGTCTTTCTTCCATGTATCTATTTGCTAAGTTTCACACTATTTCTAAAGGTACTTCACGAAAGTCTTTGAAGAATATTCTGACATAACAATTTGACATGTGCACACAAGGTTATTTTTGTGTAAAATTATTCCTTCAAATCTACAATTTTGCAGTCTTTTTAACTTCCATGTTTCTATTTGCTAAGTTTCACACTACATGTATGTCTAATAGGTACTTCACTTTAAAGAATATTCTGACATAATTTGACATGTGCAGGGGTTTTTCTAGAAAAATTTAGCATGAGGGAGCAGATCGCAAGCATAGCAAGGAACGAAGCGACCAAGGGGGGATTTTTTAATAAGAGTAACACAGTTTGTAATGCTAGAATAGTGTTGTATTGCTTTTACATCTTTACTGGAAAAATATCATTTTGAGAAAGACTAAATGGTGTTAAGTAGCCACTTAGGGTTCAATCTGAAAATTGATATAAAGGAGCTGGCTGGTTACATGAGGGAGCAGCTCCCTTATTCCCCTGTTTAGAAAAACCCCTGATGTGTGCACAAGGTTGTACACATGTACATGTACATTGTACATGTGGGTGCAGGTAGACATCATCACTGTACTAGTGCACAGTTCCAATTTTACCTGCCCAGTATGTGGAGTCCTGACTGTTGACTTGTGTGCAGGTATGAAGATGGGCAGGTGGGGGATTCCATGGTGGACACCACACAGGAGAAGTACCAGAAGGAGATACTCAGGGCCATCGGCAACATGACCGCCACCGACTGACCTTCAGAACAAGGTCGTTCATCAGAACAAGGTCGTTCATGTAGCAGGGTAGAGCCATGCTGGTTTCAGGCAATCTTTTCCCAAGCAGTGTCGTTTTATCGATTTTTGTTTAGTTTCATAAGTGTTGAATCTAAAATAATAACTGCTGTTGCAGAATATTATTAGACTTACATGTACATTGAGAGTTTGGGTCATAATACATGTAACGTTACATGTACATTGTAGGGGAAGGGCCTCTTTTCATGGTAAAGCGTGACTCACTACTATTTTATAGATGTCGTCACCTAGAATACATTTTGATAAACACACACTCATTTTCTACACAACTCTAAAACCTTCACATGCAGATTTAAACAGTTGCATGATTCTGGGGAAGTCATAGACCGTTCTCAGATTGCAACAAGGTGTGGTTTGTATTTAATATGCTTTATTGCATATTTTGCACATTATGAAAGAGTTCACTCAAAAACACGAGTGGTAGTAATACAGGGTTCTAGCTAGCACATAGTAGTGTAGGGGCCCCCTATGCTAAAATTTTGGTCTATAATTTTGACCCCCTACACTAATTTTCAATACAGCATAGGGGCATTGTGACTTTGTTCAAGAATGCCAGATCAAATGTGGAAATTACCTATCAAGGATACATTGTACATCTCCATAGAAATAACATTTTTTCCCTTTGGGTATCCCTCAAATGGCCCTTTTTAGCTCAAATTTACCCAATGGTAAGGCGTGTGGGTCAGATGGTATAAGGAATGAGCACCTGAAATATGCTGGTCCGAGCTTGTATGTCCATTTGTCGTTGCTGTTTACAGCTACCATTGTCCATAATTTTATTCCCAGTAGCCTTTTAGACACTATTATTGTTCCCATCGTAAAAAACAAATCTGGTAACATCTCTTGTACTGACAATTATAGACCAATTGCGATCACTTCGGCATTATCGAAAGTCCTAGAGGCACTCCTGCTTAATCGTCTGAAGCCTTTTCTTCTGACGTCTGATTCTCAATTTGGCTTTAAACCTAAACATGGGACTGACATGTGTGTTTTTATGTTAAAGCAAATTATCGAGCACTACAGGGGCTTAGGGTCCCCTGTCTTTGTGTGCTTTATGGATGCCTCTAAGGCCTTTGATCGCGTAAACCACTGGACACTGTTTAGAAAGTTGATCGACAGAAATGTTCCGCTATATCTAGTTCGATTCTTGGTTTCCTGGTATACGAATCAAAGAATGTTTGTGAGATGGGGTGCAGTCCTTTCCCCCAGCTTCTCCGTTACTAACGGAGTACGACAAGGTAGTTTACTGTCCCCATATCTTTTTAATGTATACATAGATGATTTGAGTGTAAGCTTAAACAATGCCAAGGTGGGCTGTTATGTAGGTGGGTCCATCACCAACCACCTGTTTTATGCCGACGACTTATGTCTGATTTGCCCTAGCATTAAATCTCTACAGAGATTGGTTGGGATTTGTGAAGTGGTTGGCCATGGTAATGACATATTGTTTAATACTAATAAGACTTTCTGTATGTATTTTCCATGTACTCGTTTGCCACTTCAGCTTCCATTGCCACCTGTAAGTCTATACGGTACCAACCTGAAGTACGTAAAC